AGGTGGCACCCCTCCAAGCCGCTGGTGTGCGGATCGCTCTCCTGCAGTTCAGGGAGAGCATCCACCATCGCTGCTCCATAAACCGGAAGTCCCCTGGTTCTGATAGGTTGGTTTTCAATACCTTACATCAGACTCAAGCTCTATATACAAGATACATACATTCTATTCCATACATAACACCCTCCCTCATGAGTCTGCACAAAAACATACAATATATATTTTAAAGATCTATAAGTTTCCTAAATACATATGAGGCAATGTACCAGTATGCAAAAGAGACCATAGCCCTAATCCAACTGTATTAGTGTGAAACTCGTACAAGTGGTGGTTCTACATGAAGATGTGTTTATCTAGACACATCAGAAAGACAGTAAATAGAGCTTAGAAGAGCATCCCAGTGATAAGGAATTTGCATCTGCAGTAACTGAAATATAAGATGCATGGATCACTCTTGCTGGCTCAGAGTGTACATCTCCAGATATTATTATACACTGTGTCTTGTTCAAACTGTTAGTTTATACCATTATAAAGTGACTGCATTTGGGTTTTATAGAATGAAACACTTTGTGAGAATATAGTTCTGTTGAGCCATCTTTTACTAAAGGGATTTTAGTTTATGGCATTGTATTTCATTTATTTTGCCAACTAATGTCATTTGTTCTGTGCAATGTATGGAGTTTTTGAGTCAATATGATTTTCACTGTATTTGTTGAACAATAAATATGTACAGTCCAGCATTTTTTTTAAAAAGCTATGATTGATTGTAGGATACTACTAAACAGAAAAAGAACTGTCAGACAATGCTATAAAAATGAAGGGTGCCCCTGATGTAATATTTATGTTTGGATACAATCATTATTGCATGTAGGAGTGTAGGTGGCACAATTCAAATATTTGGGATTAGCCTGATACCCGTGCTTTGCTACGGTATTTAAGTTCTGTAAATCCAGTTATAATACTGATGATGTGAAGTTTGAAATGTGACATTTGTTGTAGGAATTCTAGTAGAAAAGGTTGTAGTGTAACAAATGAAGTTAGACATATGTACTTTTCTCTCTCTACTGAAGGACCTCTCTGTAGAGCACATTGGTGGTTCTGCCCTCAGGTGCTAGGATGACCGGGCTGCTTGATGAGCTCACTCTGGAGCAGGCCACATAGAACTGTCCATTTAAGAAGCAGTCGTCTGTTAAGTCAGCTCCTGCCAACTTCCACGAAAGCGATGGCTTCTCTACTTGTGTTCCTGGAATGTTTTGCTCATATGGAGACTGTGTTGTTCTGAGCACCTCAGGGTGATCTTGCTGGTACTTGGCCTGTGCAGCTCAGTGCACTGCAGGAGTACTATGTGCAAATGTCTTTGCCGCATTCCTAAGTTGCCTCCTTCTGGCAGCTGCCTGTCCAATGTAGGAGGGGGAGGGAGGAGGGAGGAGGAGTATTAGAAGCCACTGTGGAGGCAGGGCTGGCAGGATCACTAAGGCGTTACTGCTGGAGTGGGCTCCCTCATGGCTTTAAGCACCCTGCGACCGCTGCTGCACCTGACAGACAACTGCCTGTTAGATGTAGGAGGTGGGAGAAATGTGTTGAAAGCCATTAGAGAGGCTGGGCCAGCAGCATTGCTAAAGTGATCCTGCTGGGGCGGCGTCCCTAATGGATTAAAGTACCCTGGTCCTACTCCTACACCTGACAGACACCCGCCTATCTGGTGTTGGGCGGGATTATGTTTAAAGGCATCAGGGAGGCTGAGCCAGCAGCAGGGCTAAGGCAATCCTGCTGAGCAAACCTCCCCGGTGGCTGTAATCCCCCGCCTGTCTGGTGTTGGGGGGGATTGTATTTAAAGGCATCAGAGAGGCTGGGCCAGCAGCAGGGCTGAGGCAGTCCTGCTGAGTAAACCTCCCCGGCGGCTGAAAGCATCCCACCTCCTCTCCTACATCTGACACGCAACTGCCTGTAGGAGGGGGAGGGGGGAGTATTAGAAGCCACTGTAGAGGCTGGGCTGGCAGGATCACTAAGACATTACTACTGGGGTGGGCTCCTTCGGGGGCTTTAAGCACCCTGCAACCACTGCTGTACTTGACAGACAACGGCATGTTAGGTGTAGGAGGTGGGGGGAGTGTGTTGGAAGCCATCAGAGAAGCTGAGCCAGCAGCATTATTTATATTTATTATTATTATTTATTATTCGCATTTTTATCCCGCCCTCCCCGGAGGCTCAGGGCGGCTAACAAGGCATGTCGCCACATAAAATACAAAACAGTACAAAATTTCTTAAAA